TAATTTTTTAATAAAGTTATCAATTTTTTTTTTTAAAATTAAAATAAAAACCTTTTGTTTTTTCTTTATTTAAAGATTTACTTTATTTATCTTAAAATAATAAATGTTTTTATTTTTATCTTAAAATTAAGGATTTAAAATAAATTTTATTTTTACCTATTTTACTCAAAAAGATAGAAATAATGAGATCTTTTTTTTGATAGAATAAATAATTAAAACTAAAACATAATCATAAGGTTTAATAGAAAAAAATATTTATTTTCTTTAAAGTTTAAAAATATAATTATTATTTAAAGACAAATTTTCACACAAAAAATCCTAATCTAAAGCACGTTTGGAATATAAGGAGTATTAAATAACGGGGATGATGTGACTCAAGATACACTAAATTTTTAGTGGATCATAGAAGGAAAAATAATTTTTTTTTATTTTTCAAATTTTTTTTATCCGATTTAAATTTTGAATTTAAGAAAAATTTAAAATATTAATGTCTAATAATAATGATGTAATTAATGTGATAACATTAAATTTTATGATATGTCCCATTTACTTTAATGACTACGATTAAACAACAACAAGAAGTCGTGATTTTCTCTTTTTCTATAAAATAAAATGACAAAAAAATACTTCACAAAACAACTTCTGCACTCTCCAAATCCTTAATATATTTTATTTCGAAATTTTAATAATTAATTAATTTTTCAATCGTACTTGGGCTCTTGGTTCCAGTGGCAACAAAGCCACGGTAAACTACATTTTCCCTTCCTTCGTTTCACAACGGTTCGAATCCGGCCTTTATAAACATGTTAAAAAAAAAATTAATTTTTCATTCAACCACCGCCGCCACCGCCGCAACCACCACCACCACCACCGCCACAACCAGCCCCACCATCACCACCGCCAGCATCATCACCACCAGCACCACCATCGTCTTGGCTATGTTCTTTGATTGCCGTGAGAATGACCATAAGAGCCACTATGAATCCATAATCCCGGTTTGGAAAGACTGTCACCATAACCGTCTTCTTTCCTTTCACCACGCTTTCGACTTCCATCTTCTTGTGCATCTGTAAACACAATTTTTTATGAATTAATTCCATTACTACTGTTAGTGGAAATTAAAAAGTCCATAAAAATTTTTTCTTACTTGAGCAATGACAGAGGAAGACTCTCCGGCATAAAAGACAGAGGGTGTATGATCCGACCAACTTCCTTTGACCTTAAAATCACAGACCTTCTGCTCTGAGTTGTTTGCTAAGAAAACATCTAGCTTCGTCTTCCATTGGAACATTGAAATCGAAGATCGTTTAGCTGTGAATAAGAGATCACTAGACTCTGTGCTTTCTCCTTCGAAAACTTACCATCTATTATGCATAGAAAAGTGCTGCAAAACAAAGAAAATAATCAATTTAACTTAAGCTTAAGCAATACTTATTTCTTGAAAGATGTAATGAAAATAGACAAGCCTTCGGTTTCAAGGTGATGATGGGATTTTCAGCAGCTTCGAGCAAGACCCGAGTGGAATAGAGAGAGTGTTTGGAGTCTTTGAGTTTGAATATGATGTTTTTTCGTTTATGTCAGTGACAACAAGGTCGCCGTGTTGCATATCCTTGACCTTTCTGGTGATCAAAAGATTGACGGGGAAGGAGCACAAAAATGAGGGCTAATGAACGGAGAATTTTTCGCCGGTGGTGGGAAAGAGAAAATACTTGAGTCAGCCATTGGCAATGGGAGATATGATGTCTTTTGGTGGAGAATACGTATATATCTTGAGGAAGACCAAAATAATAAGGTTAAATGCTAAATTTGGTCCCTCAACTTTAGTGAGTTGCACATTTTTGGTCCTTCAACAATTTTTTGCACTTTTTTGATCCCTTAACTATACGAAATGCACTCCGTTAGTCCTTCTGTTAATTTGGACCGTTAACTCTGCTTATGTGGCATTTTATATATTTTTTTTGATGATGTGGAGGGCAAAATTTAAAAAAGTGATGATGTGCACAAAAACTTTTGCCATGTCATGCTACCGTGGCCAAAACGCATCAAAATCCGTCCAAGTGGATCCCACATCACCACTAAGAATTACTTCTGTCCATTGATTACTGTTTCTGTTCTTTCCATCATTTTCAAGATTGAAATCATTTAAACAATACTTAAAAAATATGAAGAAAAAAATCTCAAAAATCACTCACAACAACTTGCAATTTGGATAATTTCTTGATAAACAAACATATAACAAAAAAAAAAAAAAGGAGAGCTGAGTTCGCCGGAACCCAACCTGGGTTCTACCGAACCCAACTCAATTCACTGTAATTCAGTTGTCCAAAAATCCCTCG